TTGATCTTAGAAGTTGATGCGAAGTATATCAAGGACATGCTCAATAATCCTGACCTTCAGCCTAATGCAGCAGTCAATCGATGGATTCAGGGAATATTGATGTTCACATTTGAATTACGACATGTTCCAGCCGCACGACACAAAGGTCCAGATGGCTTATCACGGAGAGAGCCTACACAGCAGGAGATAGAAGACGCCCAAGCAGAAGAAGAGGCAGATGATTGGCTGGAGAAGATTGCCTTATACTGCCAAGCAGAGGAGGTCGACGGAGCACCCGAGTCCTTTGTCCTAAGAGAGAATACTCAGGACAAGATACTGCACCAGATTCGACACTTCTTGGAGACGCTAGAAGTACCAGGAGCACTGTCCATACAGAACAGACGAAGGTTCATACAGAAAGCTAGTCGATATTTTATCAGACAAGGCCTCATGTTCAAGCGGAATGGTCCCAAGACACCGATGCTAGTAATTTTAGACCCAAGACAGCGGAATAAAATCCTCACTCAGGCCCATGAAGAGTTAGGGCATCGTGGAGTGCATGGAGTCTACCACACGATTAAAAATCGATTTTTCTGGCCTTATATGTTCCAAGACGTAAAGAGCCATGTTGGGTCGTGTCACGAATGCCAGATCAGGAATACAAAGAAGGTGGAAATACCACTAACTATATCCACCCCTGCCACCATTTTCACAAAGCTCTATGTCGATATTATGTTCATGCCCAAAGCAAAGGGCTATCGATGTATCGTTGCAGCTCGAGATGACCTTACACAAGCTGCAGAAGGCAGAGCCCTGAGAAATGCAAACGCCTCGGAAATGGCACGATTCTTCTGGGAGGAAATTATCTGCAGATATGGACATATAGCCCAAGTTGTTACCGACAATGGGTCGGAAGTCAAGGCTGCATTTGCCAAGCTTATGAAACAATATGGCATAAACCACGTCAAAATATCGCCATACAATTCAAAGGCAAATGGAGTAGTGGAAAGAGGTCACTTTATTATCCGAGAAGGTATTATCAAGGCCTGCGAAGGAAACATCAAGCAATGGCCTAGCAAAGTCCATCACGCATTTTTCGCCGATAAGATTACGACACGACGAGCAAGCGGATTCAGCCCCTACTACCTTATGTACGGAGTCGACCCTGTCCTGCCATTTGACTTAACGGAAGCCAGCTTTCTCGTGGAAGGCTTCAGGTCAGGCATGACACCCGAAGAGCTGTTAGCCTTACGTATCCAACAGCTGGAAAAGCGCCCTGAGGATATTAAGCATGCTGCAGAAACATTAGCCAAGGGACGATGGACTGCAAAGCTGCAGTTTGAGAAGAAGTTTAAGCGACGATTTCTGAGGAAACCAGGATATGAGCCAGGAGATTTAGTCCTTGTCCGAGACATCGAACGCGAGCACACGTATGACAAAAAGCATACGCCATGATACGCAGGGCCATATGAAGTCGTACGCCGCACGCAAGGCGGATCATATGTCCTAAAGGAGTTAGATGGGACACTCAGCCGACGCGGTGTCCATGGGTATCGCCTCATGCCTTATGTAACGCGAGTAGAAGCAGTTCAGGCACTCAGAAGCAGCAATGATGCAAGTGAAGATGACGGAGAAACCACGTCTGGAGAATCCAATCAGGAAGACCCTGATACGGAGGTAGAAGAGCAGGAATGATCGGTACCTGCATGCCAAAAAATACATCATTCAATTCAGCTCTTGCATCAGAGTAGCTCAAGCTCCGGTACTCACGTAAACGCACTCACTCATTCCACTCGTATTCGTCACACTTGCTACGTACACGTTCGCCGTCCTGCACATCCAGACTACTCGTACGCCATGTCCAACACGCTCAGGAATGTCAGCTTTGAGTGGCTGAAAAATGTCGTTGAAACTTCTGTGGAGATCAGCCCACTCGAAGAGTATCCGCGGATTCATGTCTCTGCTGCAGAGCAAATGCAGGAATTTGTTGACATCGAAGATGATGTCCTGATACCTGCCGCGTTCACTGCAAATCAACCAATACCCTGCAACGACTATGTATGCTTAGAGGCTGCCCCTCTCAACTACGTTATCACTCCTCTCCCCGGACAACAATGTCTCATTCCACGCCGTACCTGTGTCACGATCACAGGACTCGGCTATGTATGCTGGTTCGACCGTATCATCGACATAGATGTTTTGGAGCCAGACTCAGTAATTATGGAAGGCTGGGTCTGGAATGGTTATTTCGGACATGGGTGGATATTATTCCGATTCCACGCCAAAGTCCACTCCTACTGCCTCGAATTGCCGACTCCATGGATCTCAATCGTCAATTTGAGCACACGCCGCTTCAGCAAGCTGTACCTTCAGTACGATCTGTGAGCCCTCAATTCATCTCTTAATTTTGCTTCGTTGGCCACGGGGACGTAGCCTTTAAAGTTGGGGGTACTGCTGTCAGACAAGAATATTGTTTGAATGCAAAATCCCGTTTCCACTCCCCGCTGAATCTATCGCCCAGATTCAATCTCTACCGCCTCTTTCAGTACAGGATCTTGGAGCAAGGACTGTATCAGGACGAAGAAGATATGAACCATGATGCGGAGCTTAATAATTGGTTAGGAGAGATGCGCGAAGCTATCTACCTTCCAATCACCTTCGAGGAAGCAAAGGAACGGTTGGAGGAGATTGCGATCGAGTTGGCGAGGAGAAGGATGCTTTTGGTATGATGGGGGAGCACTCGGAACATTTGGAGTACACTCGAACATTTGGTTCTCATGTTTTTGTGTTGCTATCGCCATGGTTATTTTTGTGGCGACATTTTGGACTCTCGTGCCTATTGTTTTTGACTCCTGCCGATTACTCAGACTGCACCCTATCTGGGATAGTTTGTCTCGTAATTTGTAGACTGCTTATTCATCCG